GCTCCTGTTCAGGGCACCCCCTACAAGTACTTCAGCCTGCTTTCTTCACTTGTCTCCCAGAAAGTTGAGCATCAGGACTTCAGGCAAGACTAGAACAAATTTTCTGTGAGAAATCTAACCAGGAAAATGTAAAGATACATAAGGAGTTTCTCAGCAGGTGACCCACCCACATAACCTACAGTGAAGATCAACAAATCCAAGTCATGCCATATGAGCTTCCCATCAAATCTAACTGGAATTTGACAAAATCCCCTAGATATAGTTACTAATTTATAGGACATACAGTAGTATAAGAACATGTTAAATGCCACCAAAGGAGTGTAATAATTAAACTCCAAACTGTAGGAAATGCTTTAGCACAAATAATTTAAGCCATTACATAAACTGCAAGGGAATAAAGAAAGAGTTTGTGGGAAAATTTATGTATTACAAGACTCAAGGCACACACTGACTAAATACATGTATAGACCTTACTTGAATATTGATTTTCAAAAAAGTAAAAAAGAAAAAAATGGAGACATTAGAGAATATTTGAACACTGAATGATGATACTGACAAAATAGGTTATTTTAAGTATGATAACAACTATATCATTTTTTTTGTTTTGTTTTTGTGCTGGGAATTGAACCCAGGGCCTTGAACACAAGCATTCTACCATCGAACTACACACTCTGCATTTTTAATGTTCATTTTTTATTTTTATTTTTGCAGAATTGGATTGAACCCAATGATGCTCTGCAGAGATACATCCCCAGCCTCCACTTTAAACTTTTTTTTTTTTTTTTGCGATGAAAGTTCTCACTAAATTGCCCAGATTAGCCTCAAACTTGTGGTCTTCCTGTCTCAGTCTCCCTGGTTGTTGGAATTAGAGGTGTGATGTTAGTTTTTTTTTTTTTTAAACTCCTTATAGGGGGCTGGGGATATGGCTCAAGCGGTAGTGCGCTCGCCTGGCATGCGTGTGGCCCGGGTTCGATCCTCAGCACTACATACCAACAAAGATGTTGTATCCGCCGAGAACTAAAAAATAAATATTAAAAAATTCTCTCTCTCTCTCTCTTTAAAAAAAAACTCCTTATAACTCATAAATATTTTGATAAAATGCAATTTATGATATCTGTTTCACAATAATCTTGAACGGGGTCAGGGGAAGAGATATAAACAAAGATTAACCCTGAGTTAATAAATATTGAAGCTGTGTACATGGAGTTAATTTTTCTATTTTCTCTATTTTTGCATGGGTTGAACATTTTGTAAAATAAACTTATTCCTTAAATAAGGGAGACTATAATACTGATGGGAAGCTCTGATGACATGATTTGGACTTGGTGATCTTCACTGTAGGTTATGTGGCTGGGTCACCTGCTGAGAAACTCCTTATGTATTTTTAGGAGATACATTCCCTTGGTTAGATTTCTCACAGAAAATTTATTCTAATCTTGCCCAAAGCCTGACCCTCAACTTTCTGGGGACAGGTGTGGAAAGCTGGCTGGTGATGTGGGCATTTATTGAATGCACATGTTCATTCAATGCTCCTTTTTCAATTAATTCCTGCCCTCAGTTGCACAGCCCACATCTTTTGTTTTTGCCTTTTTCAGAAAATAAGGTTCCAGTCTTCTGTGTATAACACTTATAATTAAAAAAAAAGGGGGGGGGGGTTCCTGGAAAAAATATACTTGAAAAAAAAAAGGGTGAGGACCTAGGACTCAGCTTGCTTCCTAAATAGTTGACAATTAATTCTCATTTTAGTCCCTTCATTCTTACTTTCAGGGTTACCTGGTGTCACTCATTCTTGAACCTTTTAAGGATTTTTTAAAAAATTAACCTTTAATTAATTAATATGTGGTGCTGAGGATCGAACCTAGGGCCTCATCCATGCTAGGAAAGTGCTATATCACTGAGCCACAACCCTAGCCCCAACTTTTTAAGGATTCTATGATGCAAAATAGACTTGTTCTTGTCTCTTGCAATAAAATTTGGCTTTGTGGATTTGATTAACATTACTACTTATCCACTTTTCAGTTCCCCAATTTTGTACTTACCTCTTCCATCATTATTCCTGTGCATAAAAGTGTTTTTATTTTTTAAAAGAAATTCTTATTTTAAAGTATTTTTAGTTGTAGAGGGACACAATGCCTTTATTTATTTTTTTATGTGGTACAGAGGATTGAACCCACTGCCTTACATTTGCTAGGTAAGTGTTCACTGAGCTACAACCCAAGACCCTAAAATAAATCCTTTACTGTAGCATCAGTGCAGTTTTTAGAGGGAGCAAAAACAGAAATATATATTCAAGTTACAATTGTTACCAAGTTTATCACCCTTTTAAAATTAAATGTTTATTCTCCACTTCTGTGAAGGTAAAGATCTCATACATTCAATGTTTTTAGTGAAAATTTTCTTTACATTTAGAATGTAATTAGGTTAAAAAATGGAGTTTTACTTGGTGATTTTTGTTTTGGTAACTCTTCAGTATTAGAACTATGGATACATTAGGGTTTTAAGCAACAGGATTTGCTGGGTTTCTGTTCTCTCGGCTAAAAGGCTCAGGGGTCACTCTAGTTAAACTGGGCTAACTGGGCTGCACGAAATAACCACACAAGAGACACAAATACCTTTTTCTTTGGGGTTGCTGTGATGGCTCCTCCGACCTTAAGGGTCTGCAGAAAGAGAGAGAGAGCACGTGCTGACCCCTTTTATTGAGGAGAAGCTATTCAAATGAGGCAAGGGGTCAGGTTTCAGGGGGCTGAGTCTATCTTCATGATGTCCACTGTCGGCAGGTTGACTGACACCTGGGTAGGCCACACCCAAGGGCACAGTAAGAGGAGGGGACACACACAAGGCACTTCCATGGAAGATTCTATCCTAAACAGGGTATTACAAAAGAACAGGTGAGTATAGCTTCACCCATGGGGCTGTAGCAAGACACACCCATTTCTGTGACTGAGCGCCTCAGCACCCAGCTGGGGAGTGTAACTCAGTCACCCATAAGGTTGGCCTCCCACAAGGATTTATTTTTTTGTGTATGTGGTACTAGGGATTGAACCCATGGACACTCAACCACTGGGCCACATCCCCAGCACTTTAAAATTATCATTATTTTTAAAAACTTTGAGGACAGGGTTTTGCTAAGTTGTTGCTTAGGGTCTTGCTAAATTGCGGAGGTTGGGCTTGTACGTGTAATCCTCCTACCTCAGCCTCCCAAGCCGCTGGGATTACAGGCATATGCTGCTCCCAGCTAACACTAATGGGTTTTATTATCTATTATTTATTATCTGACTCATAAATTCCTTAAAAAGTATGCCTACCAAACTTAATACTTTATGGCAATCTATTCCAGTTCTCTTTTAAATGTACAGAAATGTCTTTTTGTAGTTTCTACCCATGAATTGTAGTTCTATGTCCTTGGATAATTGCAGAACACAATTAACCCATTGCTTACAAAGTAGTCCTTCAAAAACCGCAAAACAAATCAAAAACTTCTTTTTCCACCCAGTAAAATACCTGAAATTTTCTCAAATGCTTTCTCACTAGATTTATTTTAAATGTTCTAGAAACATCAAAATATTCCTGGATGTCAAATTAGTAATTTGAAATTTCTTACACTAAGACTGATATTTAATCAGGGGTTTTAAAAGTTAGTATCAGGATCATAGTAATATTTTGGGGTGACAATGGTCATGTTGAAAATGGATTGAAGAAGGTAGAATTTAGAAGCAATCTGTTTTGGGTTCCATATAGAGGTTTCTTAACTTTCATAACAGAATGTTAATTTGTCACCTCCTCCAGCAAGCTGTGTCTGAAGGTTTTGACTCTCCAACTAGCTAAGCTATCTAAACAAAACATCAACATTTCAGGATGGTCCAGAACTTAAACTGGAATTTCTAGCTTGATAGATTCTGATAAACACTAACTAAAGAAGTGATATTAAGGGATATACTATATGGTTCTCAAGCAGGGCTGAGGATTCTGATTTCAAAGTCCAAATGCACAACAAAAGAATATTTTCCAAAAGCATATATATGCATCATAAATGATCAAAACTTTACACTCTAGAAGAGAACATTTCATCATTAAGCATCAAAGCACAACTACCTCCATATGTGCACACATGGGGGAAGAGTGTGGTCTGTGAAACTTGTTGGTCATCAAATAAAAGGTTCTCTTATAAAAAATTATGGAAAACCATTGCCAATTTCCAGACACATTACATTAAGTTCTGTTCTTAAATCATGTTTTATCATCTGAAAGCCAGATATACAGTTTTATGCTTTATAGAAACAATTTTAACTGAATACATCCTAAATGTTTTCATCAACAAACAATATAAGAAGTGGCCATATAAAACTATTGCTAATTTTCTGTAGATACTGAATCTGAGAAATAATGCTTTCATTTATAACTTTTGTATAATAAACCATAGTTCACATTGGAATTTGTTACTAGAAAATTTTATCTCTTGAATTCCTTGTCTATTTTACTAGATATGTAACCATTTTCCAAAACATTCTCTGTGAAACAAAATAATGCTCCCCTAAACAAAGATTCTATGGTTAATTATTTTTGGAAAGCAATGCTTTTATAGGTTCCTAGTGGACAATGTTTTTATAGATTCAGAATGAACATCAACATATTATAGGCCTTCAGAAATTTTTTTTTTAATTAGTGTGTTTTAATTATACAGAAAAATGGATTAGGCCCTGAAAAATCTTTAAGGGAACAACAACAAAATGACAAAACACACAACCTTACCTAATCAGAATTTCCTAAATTTATTATTTTTAAGAACAATAACTTATAAAACACTTTCAAGAAATTCTGAGAAATGCTGGGTAACCAATTGTTCATCTCTTTCTTTTAAACTACTATGCGGAGGATGAAACCCAGGCCTGGAACACACTAACTAAGCACGCTGCCGCTGACAGTGTTCATCTCTTTACCAGTGAGAGAACTTAGGCTAAGTTCTCAATGATGTTAATAAAAACAAACAATTAATTTTTAACTTCTATTTTAATAGCTTTATTATGTCTTGGTATTTCATTCTATCTGCAACAAAGGACACATAAAGTGATAATATTTAGAAGAGAAAGGGAAGGATATGAACACAGAGAATCTTGAAATATATATAAAAATATATTTATAAGAGTGTTTCATATGCTATGCAAATGAACATAGTAATATTTAAGAAATAAAGTTAGAAAAATTTTGTTGTATTTATAAGACTTCACACTCTTTCCTAAGTAAATTGCTACTTAACACTGTATTGCTGACTTACCTGTAATTCCTAAATCTACCCATTTTCTCACTTCCATTTTCACTCTGAAGCTTAGGAATCCTGATATACAATACAGAGAAGTACCAGTTTTAAGTTTAATACCTTGGCAAAAAATAATCAATGCTTATCAATTAAAAATGTTTTGTGTTGAACTGAGGTAAAACTTCATGCCAAAAGATTTGGTGTATGCATATGGGAATTGCCTAGGTAAGTCTAAACACTTGGGAGATAATTTGTGCAGAATTTATTAGTCATATGATCCTGGACAAGTTCATTTCTTTTGGTACTGGGGTTGAACCTAGGGCCTTGCACATGCCAATCAAGTGCCCTACCCCTGAGCTATCTCTGGCTTTTTTTTTACTTTTAGATGAGTCTCACTTAATTGCCCAGACTGTCCTTGAATTTGGGATCCTCCTGCTTCAGCCTCTCAAGTAGCTGGGATTACAGGCGTTGTGCCACCTTGACTGGCTTTAAGCAAGTTTCTTAATCTTTCTATACCTCAAATTCTTCTTTTTATAGGAACATTGTATGGATTAAACAAATTATTTATTGTTATCTAGAAGTGTTTGACAGTGAGAGCCAGGCATGGTGGTGCATGGCTGTAATTCAAGTGGCTCAGGAGGCTGAGGATTGTGAGTTCAAAGGCAGCCTCAGCAACTTAGCAAGACTGGAAGCAACTCAGCTAGAACCTGTCTCTCTCTATATAGGGTTTGGGATGTGGCTCAGTGGTTAAGTGCCCCTGGGTTCAAACCCCTATATCCCTATCCCCCCCCCCCCAAAAAAAAAAAGTTTGATAAACCCTTGAAAGTGACTGTGCTCACTGAAAAACAAACAAATATATATATATATATAATTGTTTTTAAGAACACTAACTTATAAAACACTTTCAAGAAATTTTGAGAAATGCTGGGTAACCCATTGTTCATCTCTTTCTTTTATAAATTTAGTGAATACGTAAGATAAAGAAAGGATAAAGCCTCTTGGGGGGGGTGGGCGTGTCTCACAATTAGCAGTCAGGAAAACCCTATGTAGGAGAACAAGAAGGACGAGTCTAAGAGTTGGTAAGGAAATGGAAAGTTGTGAACAACAGAATCATTATAATCTGGCATGAATGGTCAAAATACTGATTACTGAGAAGGTCTGGGAAATGTTTACTGGAGAGAGGGATTTCCCATTCTCATCAAGCTCATGGCTTCTCCATACTCAAATGTTTTCTTTTCTTATGTCCAGTAAGATTGGAGCTCACCCTGAAAGCTTTGCCACACTCCTCACATTCATAAGGTTTCTCTCCAGTATGAAGTCGCTTATGTCCAGTTAAAGCTGAGTACTGACGGAAAGATGTGCCACACTCATAGCACGTATATGGCTTTTCACCAGTGTGGATTCTTTTGTGTTGCTTCAGTACTGAATTATGATGAAAGGCCTTTCCACAAATCTCACATGTGTAGGGTCTCTCTCCAGTGTGAATTCTTTGATGATTGGTCAAGTTGGACTTCCCACTGAAAGCTTTGCCACATTCCAAACATTTATAAGGTTTCTCTCCAGTGTGGATTCTTTGATGGATGGTAAGGCAGTGCCTATCCTGGAAAGTTTTCCCACAATCTCCACATGGATAGGGCTTCTTCCCTGTGTGTTCTAGTTCATGAGCCCTGCGCTTACAGTTATGACGGAAGGCTTTTCCACACTTCTCACACTTGTAAGGTTTCTCCTCATTGTGGATTCTTCTATGCTTCCTGAAATCTGCCTTGATACTAAAGGCTTTTCCACACTGAGGGCACCCAAAATGTTTCTCCTGAGTGTGGACTCTTCTGTGTTTGCTTAGGTCTGAGCTTTGACTGAAGGCCCTCTCACACTTGTTGCACTCATAAGGTCGCTCCCCAGTGTGGACTCTTTTGTGTTTGGTGAGATCTGAACTCCCCCTGAAAGCCTTCCCACATTCCTCACATTCATATGGTTTCTCCCCAGTATGGATTCTGCCATGGACAACAAGGGAATGCTTAAACTGGAAGTCCTTTCCACAGTCATTACATTTGTAAGGCTTCTCCCCAGTGTGGACTATCTGATGCACACTGAGACGTGTCCTGGTCTTGAAGGCCTTCCCACAGTCCTGGCACTCATAAGGCTTCTCTTCACTATGGACTTTTTTATGTCTGCAAAGAGCTGATCTGCTGTTGAAGGCTTTCCCACAGTGTGTACAGTTAAAAGGTTTCTCCCCTGTGTGGATTATGTGGTGTACAGAAAATTGATTTCTGGTCTTGAAAGCTTTCCCACACTCTTTACAGACATGGGATTTCTCACCAGAATGAATTTGATCATGGAGAATTAGGTCTGAATGCCAGCTGAATTTTTTGTCACATTTCGCATATTCATAAAGTTTTTGCTTTGTAAACCCTCTATTATATGAAATATGTTTTGAGTTTGAATTAAAGATTTTTTTAAGTACCTTCTGGTTCTTTCCCTTTTTGAAGGTCACTTCTGTAGAGCCTTCTCTCACTTCTCTCAGTTCTCCCCTTACGAATGTTTCCCATTGATTTTCTAGTTTGACATCCTGCATACAAACTTCTCTAACCTCAGGATCCTGGGAAACAATATTTAGAAGACTCTTACATTTCACCCAGAAGACTTCTCTGTTTTCAAATACCTCTTGTTCTGAAGGTGCCTTCTCACTCCCAGGCCATATCCTGCCTGTTGGTACTTAAAAGAGAAAATAAGACTGTCAGAGGAGAGAAAATAAGAAAATAAGATAGGAGAGGTGAAGCAATGTGAATCTGTTTGAAGAGTAAATGACATAAAAAATAAAAACAAATTAAAAATTTTCATAAACACAAAAAAAGAGCAAATAACTTTCATGCTAGAGAAGTTACTACCATTGTGTCAAAGGTCAGGACATTATATGACCATTTTGTCACATTAAAGGGAAGAGACTGAAAGCTTCTCTATCATTCACCTGAGTAGGCTGAAACATTGAGAAGTATGAAGACATTTTAAACTTGGCAAACTTTATGTAAAATCTTTACAAAAATACTCGTTTTCTACAGTCTCCTAGTTTAGTGAGCAGCAACTTCATACACCTAGCCACACTTCATACACAAGCCAGAAAACTGAAAATCATCTTTATTTCCTTCTCCCTCCCCTCATATTTACTCAGCTAACATTTTACAAATTCTAATTTTGAGGTGATGTGCTAAAGGGGTGCTGAAATCCCGATGCAGTCCCCTTTAAAAGAAGTATCTGCTTTGATTCTAAGAGTGGGTTCTGGATGGCCATATTTCTGCTGTGTGACTGTCCATTTGGGTGGGAAGGATTAGAGCGGGATAACACTTTGATCCAAACCAAGCTAGATTCTCTCATCTTAGCCTTTGGAATTGTGATCTGAGTGCAGGTAAGATCAGGCTCTGAGAGAAGTGGTGGCAGGAAAGTATGTGACACAGGGGAGGGAATGTTCTGCCATTTGCTCTGAGGGGCAAAAAAGATCAATTTGGCAGAAAAGAATGAAGAGAAACAGTTGGAGAGATAGGCCTGATTTAGGTGCTATGGCATACCCTGAATAAAGAGTTTATGTTCTTTTGCTTAGAGTAAATTTTTATTCTTGGCAACCAAACAATCCAAAATCAATCTCCCTTCTCCATTTCCACCTGTGCATTCTCACTAGCTATCTGTAATACCCCTCAAATGTCCTTTAGTCTGGTTTCCATTTAACATATACTCCACACTCCTTCTAAACCATTTTTTCTAATAATGTCACTCAACTTAAAATACTTCAAATGGTACTCCAGAGTCACCCAGAAAGAAAGGAATTAAAGCATACAGACAAGAGCCCTAGCTGGGCTCAGATTCTAGTTCTGATACCTAATAAATGTGTGAACTTGGAAGGATAACTTCAATTCTCTTGAGTCAATAACTTTATCTGTAAAATGGGATCATCTGTCCATAATTACATGAGTTAATGTATATAAAACACTTGCCATACTGATGTACTTAACCAATGTTAGTTACAAAGTTCAAGGCATGTAGCTTATCAAACACTCATAGAAAATCCTTCAAACCATGATCTTGCTTTTTTCTACTGCTCCTGAACTTTCTCTACAAATTACCCTAAGTTCTTTGCTCTGGTCATACTCTACTAGTCCAAGTTTATTTGTTTTATTCCACAATACTTTCTCACATGTTATTCCCTCTGCCTCAACTACCTCTCTCCTCCTTCAACTTATTGCTCTCTGAGCCCTGCAATAACTCATGTACAAAGAGGAAAGCAATTTTCTGAGCTTTTTAAAAGGGCTAAACTGCAAAAGGTTATTAGATAGATTGGAGGGGACCAATTAGATAATGAAAGAATACTACCCATGTTTGTTGCTGTTGTTTTCTTTTTCTTGAGTTGTAAATGGATTTCATTTCTGGGACCTTCAGGATGGATGAACTACCACTAAGAACAAGCTATAATCATTTTGTACATGGAAGACGATACGGAACTAAAAGCTTCATCATCACTCACCTGGGAAGGAGCAGCTCAGGAACCTCCCATACTGTAGATCCTGAACACATGGCTCTGCTTCTCGCTCCAGATGGGAGATCAAAGGAGGTTTAGGAAATGAAAATCCTGGTTGCAGAGAAGGAATGAGACTGTGTAGAACAACAAGGAGCTGTTCTTACACTTGGCCCTAATCCCTCTGTTTGTGTAAGGAGACAGGAAAGAAATACCTACTTAGGTAGAGAAAAGGGTTTCTTTAGCATTCTGGAAACAGGTACAAGGATTTGTTTGGAAACTGTCTTAGAAAAGTCTTAGAAGGCTACTATTTTAGGCCCCTAGAAGGCAGTTCACAACTAGGAGCTGAACACATGCCATTTAATGGAAAAACTAGGGAGCTGAAGAAGCAAGAACCTGAGGAAAAGAGAAGCTAGGTATCTCCCTTTCACCCAGACAGAGTACCATTCCAAAGAATTAGAAAACAATAACAAAAATGCCTAAAAGGTTACCTGTTGTACAACAAAGGTAAACCAAAACTTTTATTTTTAGGCAAGATCCTGATGGTTAAGAAAGAGGACTCTAACTTTCAATATGCGAGCCTACACACAACAAAATGAGCATTTTTTTTTTTTAAGGATGGAGAAAGCACTAAGCCAAGTGCAGAAAAGGTTCTTACCAAGGGATACCATGTTTCCATAATTTTCCAACATCACATCTTTGTAGAGATGCCTTTGAAAATAGGTCAGACTCTGCCACTCCTTACTAGTGAAGTTCACAGCTATATCCTCAAATGTTAGCGATGCCTGAAACAATAAGTTCCTGTTGTCCAGGAGAAAACCCCACAGTTTCCTCAGGAAACAGAGACAGAAGAAAGGAATTTATAGGGAGAAGGTTTATAGAAGTGAAAGACTGTTACTCTTTGGTCGATATTTAGAAATGAAGTGAAAGGGAACACAGGCTTTTAATAACTGAAAAATAACAAAAGAGGAAACAATCTACAAGTGGTTTGTTCTCCAACAAAATGTTCCTTATGAGAGGGAGCATCTTGGTTTGAGATTTGTGTAACCATATAATATAGTGAAAATAAGACCAGGGGCTGGGGGTGTGGCTCAAGCGGTAGCACGCTTGCCTGGCATGCGTGTGGCCCAGGTTCGATCCTCAGCACCACATACAAACAAAGATGTTGTGTCCGCCAAAAACCAAAAAAATAAATATTAAAAAATTATCTCTCTTTCTCTTTAAAAAAAAAAAAGAAAGAAAATAAGGCCATATTTAGGAGGTATTGAAATAGTTTCAGGAAGGATGAAAGGTGCCTCAGCTCACTTGGGACCAGCTCATCAGTGTGGCATCTGTTTCTAGTAGGTTTTCTTGACTTCCATCTTTAGTGAAGACAGGATATTGAGAAGCTGGTAGAACTGAGGGAAGAGAAATATGCAAGAGTCAGTTTAGCATAACAAAACCTGCTTTAATCTCTTCTTCACCAAATGCAGAAGCACAGCAGCTCTAACCTAGGGGTCAAGCCTACTATCATATGATATTCTCTTCTCCACTATTTCTCTAGGCTTAGCTTTCAGTGTTGAGCTATCAGCACTGGCATGGCAGCCAAGCCAGCTTTAAGTACATTCTCTCCCTCTCTCACTTACTACATAATTTTTTTCTGGTTTGTCTTTGTCTTTGAATAATCTTACCTCTCCTCAAATAGATCAGGTAAAAAGGCTTAAATTACTGATTCTCAGCTTGTATAATAACATTTCTTTCTGTATCTGAATACTGAGGTCATTTCCTCCAAAAGACTTGTGGGGAGAGAAGGGATATATGGGGGAACAGGAGATGTTGAACAGTAATATCCAGTAACAGGTCAAGTTTGTTTCTATAGGTAACTAAATGGCTGGTCTAACTTTTAGTTTATTAGAATAAAAAATTTCCTTGTTTTACCAGAGAAAAATCACTTTTTTGCTGATACTGAACCCTTTTCTTACTAATTTCCTACTACTAAGCCATCTTCTCCACATGAATGTGGTATTGCATGCTTGGCATTTTTTTTTTTCAGTATTTTTTAGTTGTCGACAGACATTTATTTATTTGTTTATATGTAGTACTGAGAATTGAATCCAGTGCCTCACACATGCTAGGCAAGTACTCTGCCACTGAGCCACAACCCCAGCCTCACACTTGGCATTTTAAAAGATTATATAAACCTAAGAGAAATGATAGTATTTTTAAGATGAAAAAGGAAAGCTTATCAAAATGTCCAAGAGTCTAGGTATAATCTATATGAATTCGGCAAGAAGTACAGCTTCATATTATTAATTAATGGGGTCTTGCTTTATTTCTTGAAGGCCATTTCAACCTTTCATAGCTTCAATGTTTAAGGTGACTTACGTTTCTTAACAGTTTATCCCTAAATTAAAGTCTGAATGAATTCTTTTTGCTATTAACAAACCAGCAATGTTGAAGCCATCTGTTGGTAAGAATCTAGGATCACCTTTGGTCTTAGGCATCCAAAATTATTATTCAAATTTGACCAGAACTCTATTTTAGAACTAGATTTCTTCTCACAGAAATTTCCTAAGAACACCCACTTTGGTCTAGGTTACTCTTGAGATTTTGACCAAGACTGAGGCTATGTCTTAATCATGGTGGTTCCAGTCACTTTTCCCACTGTCTCTCTATAAAATTGCCAAGTTATTCTCCCTCAGCCCCAAGCTCACCTAGATAGTACAGAGCTCATAGCAAATATATATTTTGCCTATAATGTTATATAAAAGTTCTTTTTCTTATAACATCAACAAACTTAAAGCTCTCAATTGGCTTTTTTTAATCAACATTTTATTATGAATGTTTCCAAATATCCAGAAAAGTTGAAAAATGTAAATATCCATTTATCAACCATTTATATTCTATGATTAACATTTTGCAGTATTTGCTTTTTTATCACATATCTAAATTCCTCTATCTGTACTTTAATCTATATTTTGATACATTTCAAAGGAAGTTGCAAACATCAGTAACTTCACCTCTACGTTCTCTAGCATGTATATTACTAATTGGAGTCAATATTTGTTTAATTTTTTTTAGATAGAATTTACATGTAATGAAATATACAAGCCTTAAGTGTAACATTGGATGAATTTTGACAAAAGCATACCCCTATATAACTCAAATTCTCCTCCACATACATATTGGGCTAGTTTCTCAACTCATAGTGATGCTTAAGCTTTATTTTTTAGCTTTAGAATTTGAAAGGTCAGTTTCTCCTCTCTAGTTAAAGGAGGACTGGAAGACTCAGGTCATGAGTATATTTTATTTATTTTTTAAATATATTCTTTTAATTATTGATGGACACAGTACCTTCATTTTATTTATTTATCTTTATGTGGTGCTGAGTATTGAACCCAGTGCCTCACACATGTGAGGCAAGCATTCCACCACTGAGCTACACCCTAGACCATGAGTATATTTTATTTAAAAAAATGAAACAAAATGGGTGGGAGTTGTACCTCAGTGATAGATTGTTTGCCTAGCTTGTGTGAGGCACTGAGTTGAATCCTCAGCACCACATAAAAATAAATAAATAAAATAAAGATATTGTGTCCATCTACAACTAAATAAAAATTTAAAAAATGAGCACCTAAGTTTGGTAACATCTATTATTTTCTACTTCTAAATTTATAATATATCCTACTATTAATTTTCATTTGATTTCTTATAAACAGAGTACTTCTCTTATACATATACATATTAATTTCTTCTTACATATAAAAATATATTTTCCTTTTTCTTTTCCAGGTAATATATACTAAAAAGCTTACTTTTGGGTGTGCCTAGTACTCTATTCAAAAGTTTATGGCTTTCTGGGCCCAATTTTGACTCTAGAATATCATGTCCCAGCAATTATCTCCATGAACTCCTTTCATACAGATCTTCACATATCATCAAAGCAGAACTTTGATTTTTTTGGTACTGGGGATTGAACCCAGGGGCAATCGACCACTGAGTCACATTCCTAGCCCTTTTTTTGTATTTTATTAGAGCAGGGCCTCACTGGATTGCTTAGTGCCTTGCTTTTTGCTGAGGCTGGCTTTGAACATCCAATCCTCCTGCCTCAGCTTCCTGAAAATGCTGAGATTAGAGAATGTACCACATGCCCAACATCAAAGCACACTTCTAATGCTCAGACTCCCATTAGTCCATTTTCCTTCACTTGCCTCAAAGGTTCATGGGACAACATTTATTCTTTCTTTTGCCACTGCTCTTTTATTTCTCAAGTATTTATACTATAATTAAATTTTTCAGGGTTCTTAAAACATATATAAAGAAATAAAATTTAATATATTTTCAAATTGTATATGTTTGCAAAACTGTGTTTGGCTAGAAGTTACTAAATTATACTACAAAGTTTTTCTTCTACTTTTTTATATGTGTAAATATTTATGTACAAACATGTATACCATTTATCATATATATTGTTATACAGTAAATGAGTGGATGCATTAGACTTCTTTGATAAATTTCTTTATAGAAAATTTTCACAAAAAATTTGTATCTTTTTTTAATGGTGCCAGGGATAGAACCCAGGGCTTTGTGCTTGCTAGGTAAACACTCTTAACACTGAGCTACATTCCCAGCCATTTTTACAAATCTTTGTTTTTTGCCTCCCAAGCCCCTGTCCAAATGTGATTTAAGATTAGGGCAGAAACTGAATAACTAAATTATTCTAAATACTGATCCAAACCCAATACAGAAACATGAGAAAGCATTCTATAAATGCTCAATAATGAATAGATTTTTGGATCTGGGAGGACCCATGTCCCTACTCTATTTTCAGCTGCATGACTCCTGTTACAATAGCTGTGCACCTCACCTTTTTTCTGAAGGAGCTGGGTATTGCTGGGAATGCAAAGTAGCTGGCATGGTGATCCTGGACTTTCATCTGAGAGCACAACCTATTGCAGAATGAAAAATGAATTCAGAGAGGTTATAAGAAAAATACATGGGAAGATGCATCCAACCATTAAGGATTTATCTGTAGAAAACACCTCCCAGAAATACCAAAAGAGGGAAGAAAATCAAGGACTCAGTTCCCAATATACATTATGAAAAACAAAAATGGCACCCAGTTATTCTCTAAAACTGAAAAACTAATAATCAGCAAGTAAAGCAGGAAAAACAATGTCAAGAAGGAGAGACCTTCACAAGGTCAGTCTAGGCCCAACACACTCTCACTGCTTTCCTTCTTTCTTGGACTCACTTCTCTTTTCTCCTCCTTGTGATGTATATTGTAGCCTCCCCTCTTCTTACCTGCTGCATCTTTTTACTCAGCTTTCTTTTATAGTCTTCTACCACTGTCCTTATTTTCTTCTTGATGGTCAGATCTAGTTTCCAAACAAATAGTAATGAAATGGCTTCTGTATTTGCCAGTCTCCTTTTGGGGACACAAATCTTGGTGGTACCAGCAAAAGGAAACTCCTTGACTTACAGTGCAGCTGCTATCTGACTTGATGTTTTAAACATTGCTCTGGATTTCAGGTTCATCATCAACAAAAGTCAGGTGTGAACTCACATCTTGCTTTTCTACATATTTGGTGAAGGAGAGCAAAAAGAGAGGAGAGTGACCACGAGAAGGGGAAAAAAACAGAATCACTGAGGACTTGGTGCATCTGTGGAGATGAGGGAGCACAGAAAGACAAATTGAAAGTGTTAATATTCTTACAATAAAATCTCCATTGCTAACACCTTGGCCTGAGCAACCATTATTATCATTCCTTCCCTCCATTACTTCAATAGCTTCCTAACCAGTCTTCTTGCTTCTATCCTTGCCTTCCTTTTGTCTCTTCTTAATACAGCTGTCTGAACATTCCAATTACAACTTAAGTTGGTCATTTCATCTCTGCTCAAGACTCTCCAATTTTACTGAAATGAAAGCTGAAGTCTTTTGGCACAGGGCATTAACTCTTCTGCTCCCCCAAGATAAAAGCTTCAAGTTTTTTAGCAGTCTATAGGATGTGACCATTATCTCTGACATCTTCTTCTACTCTTCTCCCCTTCATTGAATCCCATTCAGCCACAGTGACCTTTATTTATTTTTTATTCCCCCCCATCCCCATTCCAGGCACATTTCCATCTTAGGCCTTTCTACTAGCTGTTCTGTTCGCTTCAAGCTATTGCCAAATGTTGCTTATATGTCATCTTCTCAGGGAGGTCTACTTTACCTTATTTAAAATTGCAACCTACTTTCTCCTTCTAGTCCTGAAATACTTTACCTTGCTTTATGTTAATTCTTCTCTAGGCACTTTATCACTTTCCAATATGGTGCATTAGTTCTTTATATATCACAATCATCATTTATTGTAGTACTACTCGCGCTAAAATGCAGGCTCCTAGACTCGATGAGGATAGGGAGTTTTATCTGATTTGTTCACTTTTGTAATCCTAAAACAGTATCTGCGTTTGTAAATTCTGGATTAAAAATTGGCTGAATGAATGGATATATGAATGGATGCTAGAGATATGAATATAAACAAGAAGTCAGAATACCTTGGGAGCTAGAGTAAGAGGAAGTGAGAAAGAAATCGGCGAGAAATGCCAAGACTAAAGGAGGAAACCTGCAATGCACCTCATCTGACAGCAAAGCACCGCCCGCTCCAGGCCGGCGACCTCAGGTGACCCCAAAACGGGCTAGCGTATTTAAGAAAGGCTGGGAGCGGCTCCCGCTCTTTCCCACTAGCTCATTAGCCAGTTAGGGCACCTGCGGTGGCAGCTCCGGAGCTCCTGGACTGAAGACTCCGTCCCACGCTGCACAAAGGCCCAGACCTTACCGCGGATACTCTCCGCAACAAATGAGAAACGCAAACACACACTAGCTCCACTTCCTACTCGGCCTGGATCATCACTTCCGGCGATTTTCTAGGAAACGCCTAGACTCTCTGGTTGAGCGGTTTCCTAGAAATTCTCAGTCCTCGGGGTTCCTATTTCGAGGAGCTTACTCAAGTTTGTGGAGGGTGGAGGGTCAGTGTAGCATTGACTTACCGTCAGTTAGGGAAATCAAGATGGGAATGGACAGAAATTTTGTGGCAAATATATGAAAAAAGTCAACTTAGGACACAAATAATTGTCTTTTCCCCAAACAACAGTTTCTCTATGACGATTTCAAGCTCACACAAATGTGGAGAAAAAAGTATAAGGAACCCACATAAACTCATCACTCAGAGCTAGTTAAGATTTTGCTGCACTGTTTCATGTATTGTTACCATTTTTCTGTTGAAATATTTAAAGCAAAACCCAGACATGTTATTTCAACTTCACCTCTTAAACGACGTGGACATTTTCTTACAGAATTACAAGACCATTATTCCATGTAGGAAAATAATCCCTGGTTATCACCTAATATGGGCTCCATATTGAATTTCTCTAAATATATCTTCTTTTTTGACTCAGGATCTAAAATCTACACGTTTAATATGGTTATATCTCTGAATTCTTTTGCCTATAATAATTATTATTTTTTCCAATGCTGGGAATCAAACCTGAGGCCTCACACATTCTTAGTTCTCTTTTTAAATCTAGATTTAAAGTAGTTCCTTCCTTCCATCCTTTTCCCCCAATATAATCAACTCACTGAACAAATTGGGTCAATGTTAAGTCGGTGCCGGCAACTTGGTGGCGACTTAGTGGCAACTTAGAACAAAGCAGCCTGCCGGAAAAGAACATCAATTAGATGCCGGCGGAAACGCCTGTCAATCAGCCAGATCTCCTGACTAACGCCTGTCAATCAACAGGACCTCCCTGGCCAATCCTGGAGTTCAGCCAACTCCCCTGACCAACTTCAAGGGGGCAAGGGACCCTAGAAACACCTTTTCCTGTCCCACGCCCTTCCCTTCCTGCTGTAAGCCCCATAAAAGTCCAGTCCGGTGGAGCTTCCACTCGGTTTCTCCTCAGACCCTTCCCCTGACCCCTCTGTGGGTCTGATGGAGTTCCCCGGGAGTGATATCTCGATAAAGCCTGTTCAGCGGCCCTTTTAAATCTGCCTCCTTTGGTCACTGCCTGCCTCGCCTGATCTGACAGTTATCCTAAATGTCTCATTACTGGCTTTGTTAATTTGTGTTCTCATTCAATTAATTTCTCTAGCCATGTATTTCCTGTAAGGTAGATGTTAGCAATAAAGGTTTAATTAAAGTTAGATTTAAGTTTTTTGGTAAGGATTCTTCTCATGTAGTGCTATGTACTTTTTGCCACATTTACTTCACTCTTTGTCATGCTAAATTGATCAACCTTTCATTTGATGGTTTCATTCATTGATAATTTTTGCCAGTATCAACCATTTCATTAGGGATTATAAAACTGTGATTTGGGGCTGAGGTAGTAGCTCAGTGGTAGAGCGCTTGCCTTGCATGCATGAAGCACTGGCTAGCACCACATAAAAATAAATAAATAAAATAGAGATTGTGTTCATCTTCAACTGAAAAATAAAAATAAAAAAATTGTGATTTTCCTAGTCTAACATTCACCCCCCCCCCCCACATACACACTTACTAGCCTGAATTCCTCTGTAAAGAGGGCCTTACTTTAGGGGTTGGGGTTGTGGCTCAGGGGCAGAGCACTCACCTAGCATGTGCGAGGTCTTGGGTTCCATCCTCAGCACTACATAGAAATAAAGAGATAAAATAAAGATATTGTGTCCAACTACAACTAAAAGATAAGTATGTTTTAAAAAAAGAAGGACTTACTTTAAACCAGTTTAATAATCTAGTGAGATAAATTTATTTACACTATTTATTCTTGGTTAACCCCAATTGTTGTTAAGATTTCCTAAAATAATTAATACTGAAATTTTGCCAGGAGTCCATGTCAAGCTTTTCAGCCTGTTAATTATACTGTTCACCTTTTTTTTTTTTTACTTTTTGAAAATTTGGATATTTGATACTCTTGGGAATTTGTTCCATTCCTCAGAAATGGCCTTCAGAGGGTCCTGTGGCCAATCTGATTTTAGGACTCTTCAGGCTAGGCATGAAGACCTGAACTCATTTAGGGCAAGTATCTTCCTCATATCATTATTTGTCCTACATTCCCAATTTGAAAGTTATGATTATTGGTGGAGAAATAAAAGCTTATGTGGTATTAAGTAATTTTATAGGTCCCATGGCCATTATTAAAATTATCAAGTACACTTTCAGGGGCTTTTGGAAATATAGCAAATATATCAGGCAGACCAAGGAATAATAGAAGGAATACTCAACACCTAGATTAAGACATAAAATATTACAAATACAATTAAGTTCTTTGGGTATCCTACCTCCTTGTTTCCCAGATTTACTGTTATCCTGATTTTGATGTTATTATTCCCCATCCATATTTGTATATTTTTAGTACATACATGGGTAGCCACAAATATCATGGTGTGTAATTTTTGTATTTTACAAATTCTGTAAAATTAGTTTCCCTCCATACATATTTTTTTAACCTTGAAAGACTTGATTTGATTTGGGTTCAATATTTTTGGCAAAAATTGGGTATATTGTGTACATTGTAATCAACTTTGTGGTTTCAAGATTTATCTTTTTTTTTATACATATACATGTTTTTGTTGTAGGTGGACACAATACCTTTATTTTATTTTTATGTGGTGCTGAGGATTGAACCTAGGGCCTCATGTGTGCCAGGCAAGTGCTCTATCACTGAGCCACAGCCTCAGCCCCTCAAGATTTATCTTTAATGAAAAAAGTAGTTCTAACTCATTTTTAACTGCCATACATCTTTTCCATTTTTTTCTTAATACTCTTATTATTTAAACTCAACTAAGAACTTTAGCAAGTATTTGCTTTTTTTTTTTTTGTCTTTTTAAAAAATGTTTTTAGGTGGGCTGGGTATGTGGCTCAGTGGTAGAGTGCCCCTGAGTTCAAACCCTGCTACCAAATAAATAAATAAATAAATAAAAATATTTTTAGTAGTAGATGGACACAATACCTTCATTTTATTTATTTATTAAAGAAAGAGTGAGAGAGAATTTTAATATTTATTTTTTAGTATTTGGCGGACACAACATCTTAGTTTGTATGTGGCGCTGAGGATCGAACCTGGGGCGCACGCATGCTAGGTGAGCGCACTACTGCTTGAGCCACATCCCCAGCCTCCATAAACTGCTTCCTTTAAGTGAAAGATCTTGAGTTAATAAGGGAAGAAAAAGGTATGCTGAAATTGCTAAGAATGAATCTATGTGTGAAATTTTGCAGAAGAAAAATTTTTTATTAATTTTGGTTTCATATTGCAAATAGCAGTATGACCACAGTGCATGATAAATGCTTAGTTAATTTGGAAAATAAATTATTGATATTTTTTGTTTTTACTGTCTATGGTTTTAGGCAGCTATGAGGATACTACTATATCTGTAGAAATGTCTATTGAAGTCCTTTGCCCATTTTTGAAATTTTCCCCCAGTTTTCTCTGTATATGCTGTTTATCAATTCCTTATTAGGTATATGAATTGTAAACATTTTCTCATTTTCTTTGGGTTGCTTTATCCTCTAAGACTTAGTATGTATTGCCTTATTTTCCTTGTGGAGCTATGGTTCAGGATGAGAAAGGATGAAAGTCACTTTTACAGATTGAGTTTACTTAACTTTGAATTCTATTAGCTTGTTCTTTCACATAATATCAACTTCTTGGCCCTTCTTTGTGAATAACAAAACACTTATGGATGATAATTTATGATATCAATGACAAATATTTTTAGAAATGCTTTTTTATTTTGGAACATTCAAATAACCGAAATTAGTATTAAACTCCAGTCTGCTGTGTGTGTGTGTGTGTGTGTGTGTGTGTGTCT